GCTGGTTGGCTGCACGGGCAAGACAAGCCGCGCGTCAGCTCTTCACGAAGCTGACCAACAGACGGTGCTCTGGGCTACCCTGTACCACGCGGTACGCCCAGACCACTCAGCTCGCCCTGGTGGATTCAGCCTGAGACGAACGGTGTTCGGATGCAAAGGGAAGCCGATGGAGCAACTGGAGTTGCAAATAGGGCACGCCGTAGTCAATGTTGACCAGGCCATCCCCAGTGGATAGACAGAAGGCAAAAGCGAGTGTGAGGAAGCTGCCTGTTGTGTGTACTGCTGACTAAGCACCCGATGAAAGCCCACCAGCAATCTTCATCGTCATCATTTATCTACAATCCACGACCAAACGAACCTCTTACCTCCCACGTGAACCCGCCAGACCATTGATACCACTTTCCATGGCTCGACAAACCTTTCTCCGACCGATCGAACCTCCAGTCCGCGTGTAAGATCAGCGAGACGGTCAGCCCATTGATCGAAGAACAATCAGGAACGTAAAACTTCCCATCCTGTGATAATTTCCATCGGGCGCAATCCATCGAGTCTCCAAGCTTCGAACCACGTTTTCCAATCCCGAACGAGCCGCGATACATTCAGGAGGGCCCACGAGGCTGCTGGAGGGATCAAGTGGTTCCAACCCCGAGTCTGTCGGGTTGATCTGGGGCCTTCGCTATGTCAGGGAAGCAGGACGTAGATGATTTGTTTCTTTTATTGCGAGCCAATTGTCGACTCTGTCTATCTCGAGGCGTCGTGCCATTACATTAAAAACCAATGCTTAACCGGTTATCCTCCCGGCGTATCCAACCATGTAATCCTTCTCTTCGATCGACCCCTCCATGCAAACATTACGAGAAAGTGCCTGCCCCATACGGAAGGCAATGCTATGTACAAGAAGTGGAATTCCCAAAAAACGCTGATAGAACGATTAACTCATGATGTCGTGAACGATTATTTTCTGTTGTGTGTCGCGCGCAATGCCAATTGGGCACAAGAGAGGCCATCTAGGTCGTGTACGACAGCCAGAGCCCGTTCTTGCTGTCCTGCTCGAGGAAGACGGACGCCTGGACCGTGGGATCCCGCAGGAGGACCTTGATGTAGACGTCGCCGGAGCACTTGACGCCGCCGCCCACGTGCTCGGTGGCCGCGTACGAGGCGTCGTCCCAGAAGGTGAAGTCGGGCCCGAACTGCTGGTCCTCGTTGTCCCGGTCGAACGGGGCGACGGACGAGTAGCTGACCTCGCCGTCGGGGAAGCCCGCCAGCGGCCGCATGGTGGTGTGGCCCGAGTCGCCCTTGACGATGAAGACGCGGTCGTTCTTGTCGGCCTGGGACCAGCCGACGGTGCAGGACTTGGCGTTTGGTGGGATGCCGCGGAAGACGGCCACCTGCTCGACCTGGGACTTGTTGCCGTAGGCCTCGACGTAGAGGGCCGAGGTGGCGGGCTTGCTGAGGCTGGGCGCGTTGGGGTAGATGTAGTGCATCTCCGAGGGCCTGATCTTGGTCGAGTTGTCCGCGCGCGGGTAGCGGATGGGGCCGGCTGCTGCGAGAGCGGACAGGCTGAGCAGGGAGAGGAGGGTCTGGGCGAGACGGACCATTGTGACTGAGTTATGGAGAGATGGTGATTATGATTAGATGGTGGTGATTAGATGGTGGATGATATTGTTATAGTAGGTAGGTAGTGGACAGGATGGGCGGCTAGGTGTAGAGATGATTCGGATGGGAGTGACGAGGGCCACACCAGGTATTAATATAGCCATGCAAAGGGATAAGATGATCGCAATTCGCTTGCCACGAGAGGTGAAATTGTGGGAGCGGGGGCCAAGCGCGCGCTGTGATGGGGTGTGGAGGAGGAAGAGAGAGGCTGGTCTCGGACGCATGCAAGGATATCACGCCCAGCGCCCATCACCATCAGCTTCTGCACGTACAATCAAGACAGGAGGGCAGTGCCGGGCTACTGGCAGCAGCACCGGGGTTACTGTGGGCGAGTCCATGCATGGTCCCGAGGCGAATTGGATCATCGCATCACGGTCCCCCCCAATCAAAGGCCCTGGCGAGGCTCGAAGACATGTCTTGGTGTTTGCCTGCGCTGCCGTTCGATGGGCAACACCTGGGACGTGCTCGCCTTGGTGTCACGAGCGAGATTAAAATAAAACACGTCCGTCAGCGTCATCATCGTCAGCTTCTTCCCCATCAACACCATCGCTGCAGCATGGCGAGGCGCAGACCATTGATCAACAGCTCTAGCTCTGCTTGGCGGGCCATTCTGATGGGCGAATTGCGATGGACAGGGGTCTGTCCATGTTTGTTTAACCTCACGACGATCAGTCTTACATTGTAGAGGGGCTGGGCCGTGCATCCTGCTCGGCAGATGCAGTGTTGGCTTCCAAGAACAACAATTTCCACGCTCACAACGGACTAGCCACGCGGGAAACAGCCCGTCCGGCCCTTCGTCAGCTCAAGCTGGCCCAATCACACATCCAAGCCTTCCAACTTGGCTTGAAGAGTCTGCGGGGGGGGGGGGGGTCTCCCCTATGTCACTCCCACTCTGTCCGCCCGCCCTTATTTTTGGATACGAGCTGTGCTGCTGCTGGCCGCCGCTGCCTCATGCTGGTGCCCGCAGTGCTTCTTCTGCTTGGTTTGTACGCTCGATAGCGAAGGAGGGAGGCATTTGAGCTGGTTCCATTCCTTCGCATTACTCCGAGAAACCTTATTCTTGCTGGTAGGCTAGAAAACGAGGAAGCATTGTTTTCCCATCTTCTTTAAATAACCTTAATCTTAGTCGCTGACCTTCCTGTCTGTCATCTTTCCTAGTCGTGCCTCTCCCGGCACTCAACAGCCCATGACACACACTGCTTACGACTACCGAACGTTGTGCCTGCGGACATCCCACCGCATCGGGTAGAGGACTGCGCAAGAAGTTGGTCCGCGGGTGTTTTTGGGTCTGCGTTGTTTATGCCCGCTCGCAAGCTCTCCTGCCCGCACCCGGATTGATCTTCTGTAGATGCGATTGGGAGGAGGAGGGCCCAGCATGCTGCAGCACTCCAAAACCCCAACCACCCCTGGCATGATCGGCATCAGCGTGATAGTGATGTCGGTGTGATGGTGCCTGTGATCGTTTTTTTCTCGTATCACGGATGGCCGGGAAACCAAGAGGCTACGTACTAACAAAATGCCCCTGTACATGTCAGTCGCAGTCCGCGGCAGCTAAAATCTTGCATTGACGAGTCGCACCGACACAGTAATTATCCCTCACTGCGCTTGTGGCCCTAAAAAACGACTTCGTCATCCTCGTGTAATCGAGGAGCCTCACTCCTACATTCTAGCATGGGGGAAGTAAGTTCATTCCACGGCGTCATGCGCATGGATGCTGGCCTTGCCCCCTGCCATCCCAGCCAACTTTACATGGCTGCACTCAATAACACTCGCTTTTTACTGCGTATGCATGGTGACCATCTTGAATGAAAGCAAGTAGCTCGGTCAGCTTACAGGTCCCAAACATGCGGTTGGTCGCACACCGCATGCACATGCGCATGATAGAGCAGCGCAAAGCATCCGCGAGGAAGAATATTGCTTGCCTCAGCCTTTTTCTATTTTCGAATTTTCCATTTCCAGATCCTTAATGTCCGAAAAGACCGATGGGGTCACTCGTCACCACGTCACCGCCAGGCAGTGCTATAAGTTGCAACGGGGCTGATGGTATTGTTCTCTCCTAGTCAATGCGCAATGAGGTAAGAATTGCCATTCACAGGATCAGCAACATATGTGGTTTTCATCTTGGAATGTCCAATCCTGGACCTCGCTCACCTTTGAGCTGTGGGAGAGTTTTGTATGGGATTCTTTTCTCGTTCTTTTTGGCCTTTATTTAGCTCCATAGTAGCCAACAGATACTGTCTAGCATTGCTGGATCCAACATGCCGGATATGTGATTTACCCGATTGTCACGTCTACAAAGCCAAAATCAAGACGAATGTAAGGGCAAAACTGGGCTGTTGAATCACTTGGCAACATGGCAGGCCAGGCACGAGCCGCGATACTGCCGCATTAGGCGGTATAGAACCCGGAAGGCTTCGGTCAAGCCCGTCCTGAATTGAGAAGTGTCCCGCAGTTGGACGCACTCGGCCATAGGTTCGCGGGACTATTTTGAAACCCACCGCCGTGGCACTTTTGCATCACACCTTTGAACGTGGTACGGTGATGAATACTCGAGTCCGCATGCGCTCAAACGGAGCTATGTGGGACCTCCATGGTTTCCTGTTTCATCGAGGAGACAGGTAGGATTTTGCCATAGGGACTAATGCCCGAGAAAAGCAACGTGAGAGAATGGAGCTCTTTAATAGCTTCGTTGTTTGGGAATGGCGTTCTTGGGGGGCTAAATAATGGATAGTTCAGCAGGACTGAATGACTCAGTTTGGAGCAGGCAACCTTAGCCCTTGGTAACTGACAACTTGGATAAATTGGGCATGGATAGGCAGTAGAAAACCTATCTTTGTGTCAAAAAAGGACACCAAAATGTACACCAGCATCATCTGAAGGGGCCATAAAACCACTGTACATATCGGCGTGGTGACGGAGCTGGCGACCGAGTGATTGCCGTAGAAATCAAGAACATGCTTAGGCTTGGCCATGATGTTTAGGCGGCGCTCGCCAACTGCCTGTCTCTCGGTTTCATAGCCCGGCAAAAACTTGCTAACAATGCGGAATGGCTCGCCGGAGGTACGCCAGTCCACAGACTCAACCCAGCAGGGGCTAGCTCGTCTAGGGATATATAGTTATGTACGAGAGATCTTAATTACTTAAGGATTTTGAACCATTAAGCCTATGATAAGGAAACCCTATAAAAGTTGCAATTTACTTACTTCCTCTGAAAGAATCACCATCTTCCTCTATATATAGAGATAGTTCTAGTCCACGGACTCCCTGGTTAAATAGCCTTAGAGAGCATCCCTTAACACTAGCCGTATCTTCCACTTTCCTATTCTTTAAACCATGCTGTCTTTTTAACCTTGTAACTTCCGTGTTCCGTCTATCATTGACTGGGCAAATGTACCCCTCACGCCGGCTTTTTCGACGGTCAATATACCTGTAATAGTGGCCCCCCTGGGCGAGGAAACTTCCTCCCGGTATGCTGCTGGCTGCTCGCCCCGACGCAGCAACTCAGCCATGCCTAATAGGCCCTGCGCTGCCATTTCCAATGCCTCGGGCCTCCGTATCCCCTCCATCACGCAGCCGTCCAGGATCCCATCTAATCCTACGGACAGAATGGCCATCGAGGACCCAACCAGCATGGAGCCAATGTCAAACAGATCTGTCGCCAAAACTTTAACCTCTCCGATTTGCCCGAATATCCAGCCTAGGGTGTCGTTCAACTCGTCGGGAAGATTGGGATTATGCTCGATAATAGTCATTGACTTGCGCACCCGTGCTGCAACGTTGGGCATAGCACGGACAACATAGGGCCCTCGGCCTGTGCCATCATTCTTGTGTATGTAGCTTTCGAGTACCTGGGGCGTCTTGCCTCCGAGGACACTGACCAGGAACTTCCCACTGAGAGCGTCCCCGACACCCTCCTCGCCGAGAACAAGCTCCGCCATATGTGGTTTGCAACCTAGAATTACAATGTCGGCTTGTTCCATGGCCCAAACACTGGCACCGTGGCGGACCAGCAGCCGCGACTTGTCTTGCTCAAATCGGCGTTTAAGACGGTCTGCGGACTCGACAGTCTTAGTGACGACGATGAAACTCGAGACGGGTGGATCAGATTGTGACCGTGTCGCATCGAGCAACCCGCTCAGAATAGCCGAGCCCATGTTGCCTATCATCTCATTAGTTTTCGCATGCCTCGATGTTGGAGAGGGAAGATTTGCTCACCGCATCCGACAATGGCTAGGGTCCGGTTAGATATCATGGCTTGTTTGAGACTTTGGGATCTAGCTTGTGGAGAAATTGGATCAGATATTGTTGTTTTCCCTTCCCTCTTTAACTGCGGCCGCGTCTTGGTAACTCGGCTTGGATGGACGCAAGTTCTTAATCGGCTTCCTCGTGGCTCCCCGAGATTCTGATGATTTCCCCGCTGGAAGGACTGGCCTTGCAGGGCTAATGCGCTAAGCTATTAACGGTTCTTAAGTTTATCGGTTCGCATCTCCTCTATGGAAACCCTACACTCCTCCTGGTGCACTAGTCGGTCTCGCCTTGTATGATTCTCTGTGACAGGCTTGCTTGAAGGCCAGTTTCTCGAAACGTTCAGCAACTTAACCTCAGCAGCTAAAGCAGAGCCTGCTTGCCTGCTTAAGGTTGTTAACTTACAAGTCATCCGGTGATTCCGGTCTAGTTGAGCAGTTAAGAAGCTCGATCATTTTCTTTGCAGGATGGACAATATATTCTCATCTTGTCCTCCAATGGAGCGCCTTTCATTCGTCAACTCGGGGCTTATTTGCTTTCTCATTTAGGGGTGATGAAATATCGCCCCTAGTGCATTATCACTGGTCGATGAGTATGTAGGCAGACATCTTGGAATCTGGCCTATTGCTGGCTCAGTCCCCCGAGTGCAGCCATGCTCTCCAATGCAGCATACCTAGTAAGAGATACTGGGCTATTTAAATTAGGGAGACAAATATTGTTCTAATTCGAGGATACGGCAAAGGCGAGTTTGGCGGGCTGGCAGTAGACTTATTTTGATCTTTGGCATCACAGTGGCCCTCGTCGTTGTAATTTAGCATCATACTTCAACACTCGTCTGGGGCGAATTTAACCGTTCAATCAAGGCTCATTTGATGATCATGATTCTCAGATAGGTAGCAAAGCATGAATAAAGCTGCGTAGCTCGGCCATGAAATTGTAGAGAAATGTTAAATTGTGACTGCCTTGAGGAAAATTTCTAAACCCTAAACACGTATGCCACCTAGCCCTTTCGCCATCCATCTATTGGTGTACCGGCCCCATGGATTCGATCAATTATCTAGTAAGAACAAGCATATTCCAATTTGTCCTGAACGATAAAATCCTCTACCCCATCGGTTTGCCTTGTTGTTCGGTACAGCCGGCCCAGGCCAAAGCTTTCGCCGTCGAGGTGATATATATTTGCTTCGTCTGTCCCAAGAGTCACAAAATACACACTACCTGCGCGCTGACCTTTATGTTTCCTCCTCTTTATGGGCTCGTTCCAGGCCCTTTCCTGGCGAGCGATGTTGGTCGGGCATCTCCGGCTTCGAGCCTGACCCATCTGGCGGGGATCTCACCCGCGCGAAAGGAAAGACCGACGATGCCGAGAGCGTCGTTTGCCCGAGTATTTCAGTCGAGGTCGACGTTGGTCCGCATCTCAACGGCGCTGGTCGAAGCGACGACTCGTGCCGGGGGGGCTTAGGCCCACCACCACTTCTTGGAGCTCTGGGATTTGAGCTCGCTAATCTTCGAGGTCAGGGTGGCTCGTTCCGTGTCGGAGATCTTGTTTCCGACGGCGCTGAGGACCTTGAGGTGCTCCTTCTTGAGATCTTCGAATCCCGCGTCCAGCTCCTTGTGCCACGGGTACAGCACAAACACCTGGAAGCACAGCGCAGAGCTGGCCACCATAAAGTTGGTCACAGAAATGGCTCGCGTGACGATCATGGTGTCAGATTGGCGCGAGACTCGCGGGATTCGGCGGGGGCAAAAGGGTAGTGTGTCTTGCAGACTGTTTGAAAAAAAGCAATAGGGGTTGTGTGGACGACTATGGAATGGAGTATTATGTGTCGCGACAGAAAACAAGTGTTGGTGCTAAAGAATGCTAGAAGGGTGAAGGAAATGTTAGTGAGCAAGAGAGGGATTTGCGAGCGCAAAAGCAATCCAGATGATGAAAGATTTTTGCAAGGATCTGGTTTCCCACGTTTCCCGATACCGGCAAAAGTTCCACCCTGTGACAAGAAAATGCCTCTCGGACCGAGGTCGAGCCTTTTGACAGGTGGGCGAATCCTTTTTTGGCACTCCGTACTGTATGTGGAGGCCCCTTGAGCAGCATTTATTGGTCAGGGCAAGGATCTAACAGTTGGGCTGGAATGCTGCGTCTCCATAATCAGTGTCATCAGCTAGGATATATCCCTGCCCAAGCTGGGATTTCTCGCTTGGATCGCTGACTTGACGTTATTTTCTCAGAGAAAACTAACCTAGCAATTCGGACGTTGGCCGTGGCATAACAGCAGGATGATGAAGGTTACGACAATTATGATGGGTAACTCAACATATGGACAGGCAAACCTACGCCTACGTCATACTATTGCAGAGTAGTGAGAGTGGAGAACTTGCCTTTTGCACTTGAGTACCTCATCTAAGTTTATTTCACGAATCGAGTGCTCGATTCGGTGTGTTTGGCGACTTCTTAAAGGAGCATCCGCACCCCAGTCCCATCGTCTCCAGATGCTCCGATGCAACCTACAATCAATCAGACCGTTACGCTACTGCCTGGATTTACAGGGATTCTTCGTCTAACCTCTCATCTTCGAAGTAGTTCATGCAAGGTGCCACTGAGGCTCCGCTACGGTTTCCTTGTCCAGTGGAGTTCCATCCATACTACGCAGAGTCCCACGGCACCAGAAACTTTAGTGTATTGACCATTACTTAGTCCATCTAATTATTGTCTATATTAACACTCCGTCCATGACAACTTGCATGAAGTCTCGAGCTGCCACAAGAAAAAATAAAGATGTCGAGATAGATAGGAGGCGTTGAAGGCTTTCACATCGTACCAGGACCGACCATCTCCTTCTATCTTTGGAACCTAGATAATGCGATAGTCGAGATATTCGCAGCCTTATCAGGCTCTGTTCCGTTCGATGTTCCATTCGAGGCCGAGCAAGCAACAAGGCCTATACAAAAGGGAGCCATTGGCGGGAGAGCAGCAGACTAAACTCGTGTTAGATGTTGGTTGGCCGTAATGAGATAGCACGTATCGTTCATGCGTAACGAAGAGACTTACATAGAGACTTAGAGACCATAGGTCCTTCATCGTGCCAGCAATCTTCTTTTTCAGACCGATAGAACCGGAGGTACCAAGGTCAACGCTGCCCGATACGCCTGTCGAATAATTTCCGCAGGCACTGCATGTAAGGGCTTTCGCAGTTCATGTCAGAATATTTTCTCGTTGCCCGAAATCTCCGAAGGAAAATGACTTACACTGAGTCCCTTTGATGCTCGCGGCTAGGTAGGGCAAATTGGCAGAAAGCTCGGCGGCAAATCCAGTTTCTACTGACGGGTTAGTTCTTTGCCCAAGTTCAAACATGAAGTAAATATCCTAGGGGCCCACGCACCGAGGAGACTGATCTCTAGACCAAGCGATGGGCTCAATGACAGATACGTTTTGGCCTCGACGAAGCCGTCGATCTCGACGGGGTGACTCTCGATGTCCACGTCCCAGCCCTCGGCATTCGTCTTATCCTCCTTCAAAAAGTTGAGGGTAGCTGAAGAGTTATGGACCCTCATGTGCCCGCCTACAGTCATCGTGGCTCCCCCTCTAATGGCATCGACGCCAGCCTTGAGAGCCACGGTGATAGTAGGGCCAATGGTTACAACGCCGGGAATAGCGATGCCCGCTGGAGATACCTTGAATATCGGCATGGATTTCTCAATGAGAGGCTCGCTGATCTTCCCTTTGATACCGAGACTCAAGATTGTTGTCGCCCTGAGACCATCGGTGGTCAACCCGACGGAGGCCTCCTCTGTTTCCCCGTCGTGGATAGTCAACGCGGCGTCAATCTCAAAGGACCCATCAGTGGAACAGTTCGAGCAGTGGGCATTGTAATCAACGCCTTCCATACTGAACGCCAGACCCTTTCCAGAGACGTCCATGTTAAAGGGGATGGAGAAGTGCTTATCGTGCTCGCCTTCTACAAGGTCTTTGACCTTGTCCTTGACCTTTTCCTTGGCCTTGTCCTTGACTTCCTTGACGTCCTCCTTGAACTCATCAACCTCTTCAGAGATCTTGTCCGTCGCTTCCTCGACCTTGTCAGAGACCTTGTCCGCCACCTCATCAAACTTTTCAGAGACGTCATCCTTGATCTCTTTCGTCTTATTCTTCATTTTATCCCAAAGATCCCACCGTTTTGTCAGGGACACTAAAGGATTTGGACGCCGGATTGACTTTCCTCCAATGCGTATCTGACACTTGTGGAGGCTTTTGCACCAGTCAATCTTCGTAGCCTTGAGGACGGCGGTATAGTCGGGGAGGAAGTCAATGTCGTTGACACGGTACATCAAACGACCCTCGTTCCACCCACAACCACGATCGGCGACCATGAACACGAGCTGGTTATCCTCTGCTTTGCGAACCCACTCCCACAGCGTCGAAACATCGTCCATATCAATGTCCCGAGAGAACTTCATTACCAGGTTGCCTTTGCCCTGCTTCGGGCAACTCATCGACTCAATGAGGTCTTCGAAGAATTCCGTGTTGACGAATCCTTCGGTCTCGTTCTTCATTCGAACATGGACCTCTGCGACGGGGTCGTCGTCTTCGAGCCCCCAGTAAACGGATTGCTCGTTGACGGCCTCAAAGTCTTCTAGGCGGGAACGCTTTACATGGGCCCTGGGATCGTACCGTACTGGCTTTAGCGTGGTGAAGGGACCTTCTGGGAAGCCTGGCATGGCATCTAGCTGGGTGACGCCGTCCTCTTGAAGGGAAACGGCATTGTCCCCACGGGTGTTGATGCCAGACCAAGAGTAGGGGCTGGCTGTCACAAGAGTGACAAGAACCAGAAGTCTCAACAACCAAGATACAACAGCAGCCATTGTATTGAAGTCGGATTAATTAACTGCGTTGTCCTTGAGTTGAATTGACTTGTCTGTAAACTGGAATGGCTGGATGGCTGGATGTATTGTCTTCAAGGTGGATCAACTAGAAGTAGTTGAGATATAGGATGTAGACTGTGTGTGTGTGTGTGTGAGTAGTGTTCAAATCCAAGAAGTGGAAGAACCTCCTCGAGAGTCCCCCTACATTTATAGAAATTTGGATCTGCGTTCAGTTTCAAAACAGCGAAAGGAATACACAATGGAAAGCTTCGTGCGATTAAGCTTCTGCTTCTGTCTCGACGCCATAACCGTTACTACGAGCAACACAAAGTAAATTCAGAGAAAAGTAAGCTACGGCCCTGATAATTGCATCTCAAAAACTTCCCTCGAAACTCAAGATGCATTCGCACGGACGTAAAGTACAGACCAGACAATGTTTTCGGGCGACGCATAAATGTTTTATAGTTGACTCCTTGCTGCTTTCGGCGCGCATGTGAGAGGGGGAAATGCAAGTCGAAATCAACTGGTCGACGAAAATCGAAAATGAAATCTTAATTTCCGAACGTGCACGAGCTTGAAGTTTTTTTTTGTTTTTTTTTTTTTTTTTTTTTTTTTTTTTAGTTCCGAGCGGCGACGATATGCATATTGTGGCTGTGAAGGAAAAGAAAGATAACTGGCTAGGAAGCTTCGGAGTAAAGAAAGTATCAAGTGGCTTAGCAACATCTAGAACTCCGTACTTTACTCCCACACGCGGGCTGCTTTGGCAAAATTCATCTGCACTGAACTTTATGTTGGTTAAGTGCTGTGAAGAACGACGAGAGTCTGCAAAAATGTGAACGCCACAGCTACTCACAGACCGAGCAAGAATTTTGCTTTCATGAACCAAGGTTCCCTCCCCCCCATAGCAAAGATTTCATAGTTTCTTCCTGGAATCTACCTTCCCTTGAATGGCCGCTGTTGTCACACTCTCCGTGAAATCCTTGTAGATTGGCCCAGGATGGCCTAGGCTGAGACAACATCTCGTGCCTTTCCCCTACCCCCGCGGGCCGTCAGTTTCACCAAGCTCCAAATTCGTTTGCATGATGTCCAGAGATGACCGAGCGGTGAATAGGAAGAGGCGGTGTAAATCACCAGTCCCTTCTCGTAACATGGGTTTTTGGCGAGCGGGCCGACCAACTGAACATCAACCGCGCTGGATACGTAAAAGTGACATATAATCATCGCGATTTACCATTTATGGACAGAAGTGAGTCGTTCTTTTCACGAAGTGCGGATGGGAGAGCTCCGAAAGTAACACTCCGGAGCACGCCCCGAAAACACCGCCAGTTCGGACCGGGATGACTTGCAAGGAGCCGGCATATTATGGAGAAAAAAGCAGATGATCTTCACGCGCCGCGATCCCGAACGGCGATTGACAGGAGTCATGCAAATAAAGCCTTGTGAAACGATATAACCTATTCTGGATCACTCACTCCCCTGCCATATCATGTATAAAAGGAAGAGAAACCCTCGTGATATCGCCATTATTTAGCGAAAGGTCTTTCTCTCTATCACCAATTCTACACTCTTGAATAAACAGCATCTTATACCATCCTTCTACCGAAACAAAATGATGACCCCGGCCCTTCAAGTTGTCTCTGTCCTGGCATCCATGGCCAGTCTGACATTGGCTGCCAGCGGTTCTGGCCACTCAACAAGGTACTTGACTTATCACCTCGCCAGAGCCACTGAAGAAAGAATTCAGTACTATAATTCAAAGATTGATCATCTAACTATGTAAAGGTACTGGGATTGCTGCAAGCCATCGTGTGCTTGGTCTGGCAAGGCCTCAGTGTCATCCCCCGTGCGAACCTGTGACGCAAACAACTCACCGCTGTCCGATGCTGGAGCAGTTAGTGGGTGCGATGGGGGCGTTGCTTACACTTGTTCCAACAACTCACCTTGGGCTGTCAATGATAACCTCTCTTATGGCTTCGCGGCCACAGCTATCAACGGTGGGAGTGAGTCGAGCTGGTGCTGTGCATGCTACAAGTACGTCTTCTTCCCCTCTGCGCCATATACTTCATTTCTCATAAACTAATCATCAACACACTAGGTTGACATTCACGAGCGGACCTGCTTCTGGAAAGGTCATGGTCGTTCAATCAACCAACACCGGGTACGATCTCTCAAACAACCACTTTGACATTCTTATGCCTGGCGGCGGTGTTGGAGCGTTCGACGGCTGCTCTAGGCAGTATGGCAGCATCCCCGGGGAACGATATGGGGGTGTCACATCAAGGGACCAATGCGACCAAATGCCAAGTGCACTCAAGCAAGGCTGTTACTGGCGATTCGACTGGTTCAAAAATTCAGACAACCCAAACTTCAACTTTGAGCAGGTCAAGTGTCCGTCCGAGCTGACTTCAATCACCGGATGTACGAGGTCTGATGATGGGCAATTCCCTTCAGCATGAAGTACGAGTTTGGTTGCGCAGATGGAGATCTTCTTGTGTCATTTATTAGGCATCTGCCTTTTTGTAAATAATCTGGGTGGGCAAGCCTAACCAGAGCCTTTTCAATAACCCCATTAAAATACATAAAAACATCTTCTAGAAACGAAATAATAGTTTAGGCTGTAAGTAAAACCAAATTAGCAGGACGCGCCGCTGGGGACGCCCTTGCACTTGGTGGACGCCTTGCCGCCAGTGACGCTGTTACCAGTCCAGGTCCAGTTCTTGCAAGACGCGCAGAGGATGTATACATTGGTACCGGAGGACTTGACGGAGCCGGTCACCTTGTTGATGGTCACATCGGTGATGGGGACGCCGGCTGTAGGAGTGCCGGTAGGGCTACCGTTCTCGTAGTCCTGCTCGATGACAATACCGTACTTGGCAATGTTGGAAAGAGTGATGCCGTCATACTTGACGTCAGAGACGGAGCCAGTGGCACCATACACGGTCTTGATGCGAACACCGTTGTCCGAGTTAGAGATCTTCGAGTTGAGGATACGGATGGTCTTGACAGTGTTGTCGTCACGGCCACCGACAGAGCCGATGGAAAGGCCGTGGCCACCGCTGCATTGGCCACCAGTGAAAGTGATGTTGGTACCGGAGTTAATAGCGAGGCAGTCATCCTGGTTCTTGACGATAGCTCCGGAAATATAGACGCCGGTGGAGGAGCCAACGTCGAAGGCATCGGTGTTGTGGCCACCCTTGGTGTCGCCCAGGGAGTTATCCAGGGTAACATCGTAAACGCCCAAGTTGGTCACAGTGTTGATGCTGAACGCCTGGACGGGAGTGTTGAGGACGTTGAGCTTGTGAATCTGGGATTCCTTCAAGGAATGAGCGTAGAAGAACTTGGGTTTGGTCTTTCCACCGTTGCTGCCCTTGCTGTCCCACCATCGCGAGCCGTCGCAATCAATGGAGTGGCCCGAGGCACCTTCAATGACGATGTTGCTTCCAGAAAAGGAAATGAGAGGTCCCTTCCACTCCTTGTAGCCAAAGGTTGTCTTTCCCTGGAAGGTGACCTGTGATGCCTTGAGTTTAATACGATGGCCATACGATGGACGATTGGAAATGTGTATCTTACGTGAGTGCCGGACTTGAGTCCAGTCATATCAAGCGTAGTACCGGCGGGAACAGCAATATCCTTGAGGATGATGCTGGTGCAGCTGGTCTTGCCCTTGATGGCAGAAGCAGCATCGGTAAAGGTGCAGCTGGCGCGAGGAAACACAGCAGCATTGGCGAAGCCAACAGAGGCCAAGGCCCCGAGAAGAGCGAGTGAGTATTGCATTTTCGAGAATGTTGGACTAACGAAGCGTCGAGGTAAGAATAGTGAATGACAAGTAAATGAACGAAAGCGAGAGGACCGAAGCAAAGAATTCCAGATTCTTGGTGGCGTTGACTCTTCTCAGAAGTGAAAACGAAGCCGGCCAAGTGATTATATATATAAGAACTCCTTTAACAACGGCGGGCACTAATTAGTTTGGCATGCCCCGTCCTTGGCGACAGGAGCACGGCCTTCACGGCATTGGGTTGAGTCTTTGGGATGGTCCCAGGCTCAAAAACGGGAATTGTCAGCCGAACAATCACCTAGGGAGCATCTCGAATCAGGAGAGTGCCCACTAGATTCCCGTAATTTGGCTCGGCAAAGTCAACCGAGAACACACTGGGGGTAGTTTCACGGCAAGCACGGCAACCGCCTGCCCCATCTGCGTTTCAGACTGTCAGATCGGAAATGAAACCAACGCTTCACCACAGATGGCCAGAATCAGGCCAAGCCCCATGACCATGGGCGGAAGCTGTGGGCCATCCTTATCATTCCGTAATAAAACCACGATCCAAAGTGGCCCAGATGCCAAGGCATGTGGAACATATCAGAGCGACTAGGCTGCTTGGGTGAGACCGGAACCAAGAGGTCCGTCCCGTGGTGCCGAGTTTAACGGCATCTCTATACGCCAAACATGCATCTGCTTCTAGACTCGAGATACTCCGCAATCATTCTCTTCATTCATTCGTATTCAGGCTGCTCTTTGGGGCGCTTCTCTCTTGCCAGAGCCACTATCGAATTGATGCTTGGCCAAATTACCGAAGGTAGAGCCTAATGGCGACAAGGGTCAGTAATTTATTTCAGAGTGTCATCGCACGAACTACCGTCGTCTCTTAATCCTGGCAACCATTCGATTATTCCACCTATGAGCTGACAAGGTAGAAACCGTGTAATTGAATAGCCAACTCTCGAGGCTCTTGCAGAAACCCAAACAACCCGCAGCCGCTTCACCTCATTAACCCATCCTCTCAAGCTTGCTCACCACTGCCTTTCCATCTTGTGCCTCGTTCAGCAATTTTACCTGGAATGCCGGCTGGTGGCTGAACCCTGAGTCGGGTCCCTTGCCATAAAGTTCCATTTAAAGTATCTATAGCCAAGGCCACATCTTCACGCGTCTCCAAGTCTACGAAGGCATAGTGGTGTTTACCAGGCCTTGCTCTCGTGGACTCGTGAGGAGTAATCCTCTTGCTCACAGCCACACTGTTGCCCGACTCATTAACGGGGTTTCGGGTCATTGGTGGGGATAAACTTACACCTTGAAGTCCTTGAAAATCTCCCTGAGCTCTTCATCGTTTTGCACTTGATTTATCATTTTGTCGAGCCCGCCAACAAACACTCTGCAGCGCTGGTCATCCTCCACTACATTCGTGAGATGCTCCTCAGCTCCAATGGGACCCTGCCCATTCTCCATCACCTGGCCACCCTCACCATCCCAATTTCCCCACCTCTGAAATGTAGGATCGCGAGATGGCCGCGAGTACTGTTGTCTCGCAGGCTGCTGCTGCTTCTTGGGGCGGCAAGGACCAGTTTGTAGAGGCCGACCCTCAACGGGGACCCTGGACATGCGCTGTATCGCATCATCTGCCACCTCACGCGTCTCGAACTCGACGAAGCAGTATCCCGGGTTACGCCCGGTCACTGGATCGATGGATATGTGAATCTGATCAATGTTGGTGAAGCCTTCCGCCGCAAACGCCTCCGAGATTTGTTCTGGGCGGACATGATAGAGAATATTCCCCACGTAAATACGGCGCCCCTCTGCAATGGCGTCGGAGCCTTCAGCCATGTTATTCGACGACCTAAATGAGGCTCCATCGTCTCGACGAGAACCCCAGTCGTTTCGACGACCGTAGTCCCGCCTGTTGCCTCTATATCCTCCATCGCCCTGCCTGTCCTGGTTGTAGTCGCTTCTAGTGCGTCTGTCATTCCAAGAATCCCTACTTTTGTAACCGTCATTCCTCGCTGGCGAAGTTGAGTCGCGGGCCCGCCAGTTGTTCGAGCGAGCCGCCCGAGTTGGCTCTCGCTCCGCGGCAGAAGGACCGGCACTAGCTTCATCATCATGGCTGGGATGCTCCATATTTACGCGTCTGGGCCTAATTAGCTCACTTTCCTCGAGTCCTTTACGGAGATGTAAAGTGAATAGGAAGGTTTGGATGAAGTTTTTGTGCCCAACTGTCCAAACTCTGCCCTACTAGTGCCCCTCCTGTTGTTTATTAGTGCCGGGGCAATTTCGGGTTGCGCTTTTATTTTGCTTTGTAGCTACCCTAGAACCAAAAGACGTTGCTCTTGAATTCCGATGAACACCATCTATTGTATTCCCGTTCATATGAGAGGAATTGGGATATGCCTATGATATGTTGTGTCTGGGAGACGCCGTCTGAAACCCCCTGTATGGGCTGTAAAACATTATAGGATGCTGTGTAGGAACTGGTATTGGCTTGTCTAAAGGAAGCTGGACTGAGGTTCATCGTAAATTTCAGCTGACCTTAGTCTTACAAACCATCTTTGGTGATAACAATAATTGGTTTTCCCCTGAATGATATTTAGACCTAGATTATTTCATAAGAAGAGAATATAAAAGAAGTGTCTAGGCGTCAAGAGCTTGTCCCATTGTATATATCACATCACCAAGGCCTCGGAATCGTTCCGGCGGGATGATTATCAATCGGCCGGTGGGTGGTGCTCAAAGATGGCGTGCTCCACAACCTCAAGCGCAGAAGATTAATAATAACAGTGTAGGCGCGAATCAGACGACTTAAGAATGCGGAGAAGCCTTTGGTCAAAATTCCAAGAAATTCCGACACTTTCATTTCAGCTGCTGGTCATAAATCTGTGCCATCCAGTGATACTCTGTCTGATACCGTCCGCTTCCCACAGACAAAATGGCACAGCCCAATCCCTACAACACAGCGGCGTACACGTACCCCTTTCCCCTCGCTGGTTACGAGAATGCGCCTCCTCTGCCGGAGGAGAAGGCCGAGGATGGGAAAAGCTACGTCAACCCGCCAAACGATTCTTTAAGCAAGGCATATGAGGAGTTCCCGGATCCGCTGAGCAAAGGGAGGAGGGGCGGCTTGTGAGAGTCCTCCTTGATGTTATCAAACATTATTTCAGTTTCTAACAGAAGCGTCAATAGCGACATCCACATTTACTATTATCAGAATAACGAAGAGCAGGCGAAACATGCTCGAGCCTTGTGGGAGAGAATCAGGCGGGAATGTCAGTAACTTACTCTGTTGAGTGTACTCCGAAAGAATAACCAATGACTGATGACAAGGAAATATAGTTCCCGAGCTGAGGATCTATCGTTTCTGGGACAAGCCCGTTGGACCTCACCCGGTAGCCATGTTTGAGGTCAATCTTTTCACACCCGCGCAGTTTGGCGCGTTCATTCCGTGGCTGAGTGTTTGGAGAGGACCGCTTTCGGCATTGATTCATCCGAATTCAGAGGACCCCGGTGTGGACAGCATTGTCACGGAGCTGCGAGATCATACTCAGCGAGCTATATGGATGGGAGAGAGAATTCCACTGGATCTAACGTTGTTCCAAAAGGCTATTGCTGCAAAGCAGGCTCAAGCATAAGCTGAGCGAGCTGCGCATTGAAATATTCTAAAATTACAAGTTGAGAATAATAGCACAATTTTATTTTTCAGGTTTTCATGCTCTTAAACCAAACACTAGAATGGACTGCTTGCTCGGCGATACTCTATGATAGGCCAGCCAAATCCTCTTGGCGAAGGTGTAGATGGCCTTCTAAACGCTTAATTATCCGTGACTCTGAATAGGGAGGGTACCATCAGAAATGTGCTTCATTTGCGGCAATTTCCCATATGTTACGGCTCTCAGAGATGCCTTTGATGAGAGTGGGGAGAGTGGTGTCGTACTAAAGCTCTCAAGATTGGCAATTGCGAATGGAGAATAGAATTTATTATCAATTTAAAGGCTAAGATTGTATGAGAACTCGTTACACCCCTGAGAGAGAAACACCTGGCTGTCGAGATCTATACTTCATTAGTTGCTTGGTATCTATACCCAAGTAATGCTGCCATTATATTATGCGTGGAAGGTCTTGGCTAGCAATCAAATTCCATCATTCCGACACCGGTTTATGCAAGCGAACTAGGTATTTATTATAGTAAAGCGGGTGTGTATTGCTACGAATGGAGCTACGAGTTGAGCTACGAATTGATCTACAATTATTCACACCCTGTTGTGTGGGTCTCATCTGGTGTGGTCGCGATGCATTTTCCCGCCATTTCGTGGACCATCAAGGCAAATTGCAGAGGTTCTGGAATCTTCCCTCGAGTTTGCTATTAATTCTTATCTAAATACGAGGCGGGGCGTATAGGAGTATTCATGGATATTCATTTTCCCGAGAATAGGCTGGGTGATGTGCAGGTCGGGTACCAAAGACTTGTACTCTCATGCAAGGCGTCTCACTGCTCACGAAGGAGTAGAAGTAGATCTCAGCTGACCCTTTTCATCCTCTTTCGAACTTCTCCCAGTCAAAAACCACAAAACTCAGACGTGTCACTGTCCTCGCAGCCATGACTGAATCCCAGAAGTAGGTGCAGCATCTTGCCATGTTGATACGCAATATCTTCATTCCACTGACGCTGTCCGCATAGTACCCAGACTCCTCAGTATGAAGACGCCGGTGGGCGCCCATATATCGCTTCCTCTGGATCGGTACGTGTCTCCAGCTGGCAGTGGACCCAATGCGCTCTCCTACTAAATGGCTCTACGTAGATGCCATCCGTCGGCGATCAGGTGCTTTACATGGCTCCCGAGGGCGAGCGGGGGCCTTATTTTATCGAGAGAGTGATCCCCCCTCTATCATGCACGTTATGCGATGGAAGCGGAAGACAAGTCAACGGGGGAGTCCCTGTACAAATATCCGAGTTACAGATTCTCTAGGTGGCACGGAGTCCTGGATGCCCTCACGACAGAGGGATCCAATGTCAGACAAGGGAGAGCGACAACGACTCCAATGAACAGGAGAGGGGGCGAACCACGTTGGTCCGCCTGCAGAGTTGCCTTGGCAAATGGGATGGACTGATGGGGCTGACTACATATCGGATATGCACCAATAGAAGTGTATGCCACCATCACATTGACCCAATCCCACTGGTACTTTGACCCGATAACTCTACACTGCTGCCTTACTCTCATAGGTAGAGATACTTGGCTTGCCTAAGCTGGTAATAACGGGCGAGGTGTTCCGTCGTAGATGAAGGGCAAAGCCGATCATGATTTCTCTTCTCGTACGCTCACTTCCCTCTTGTTCAGGCTGCGCTCCAAAATTGTCCCGCATGTAGATTTTCACCACTTCTTCTTCCACCCATACAACATCCTGTCCCACCTGCTGGAGAGATCCCGGACGCAACTGGCATTTGCGCGCCGAAATAATGGATCGTCCACCACCACCCACCCACCACGCAATCCTGGTAGGGGTCAACTGGTATGAAAGTCAGCCATTGTACGGGGCGGTCGATGATGTCTTGGAGATCCAAGCTTTTCTTGCCGAGACAATCCCGTCGGTCCAACTGCATACATTCACAGCGACGGCCAGCGATGACCCTGATTTCCCTGGCCCTATCGAGGAGGAACAGCAATGGCCGACGACTAAGAATGTTTTCAATGCATTGAGTGGAGTCACAAGAGAATCCAAGCCTGGCGACTTCGTATATATTCATTTTTCTTGTCACGGGACGACATTTGAAGACAAGAACGGTCCGAATGGTCGTGCCCTAGCACTGGTTCTTCTCACCCATGACAAACGGGAGAGGTATTTCTGGGGAAGGATGCTGTCGTCGCAGATAAATAACATGGTGGAAAAGGGCCTCAAAGTCACACTCGTCCTTGACTGTTGTTTCTCCGGAAATATCAGGGGCGAAAAAATCATTAGGTGCCTTCTGGCTGATCCCGACATCGCAAGAGCCAGTGGTTTTTATGATGATCCCTCTCTACTTGAACGGGCATTCGCAACGAGCGGCATGCGCGATGTGGACATGATGTTTGACTTGAAGATCAGAAATCCATCCCAGTATGCCCTGATGGTAGCCTCTGGTCCAGACCAAGAGGCCGCAGAGGTCAAACTGCCTGGGACTGAAAAATCCAATGGGCAGCTTTCACGCTTGCTTCTGGATACGCTGAAGACTCGATCAGACCTGGAGCGTAATATCCACGATATTTATTCGCGGGTCTGCTTCGGATTCGAACACAACCAATTGAAGCAGCATCCTATTCTCTATGGGAACGAGCTTCTGCCATTTTTTGGAGGGTCCATTACCCGAAGCCGCTCGATACCATCACCATACCATCCTGCCTATTTTGAGGTAAAGACAGAAGAAGGGGACAGACTATTCCTTCAAGCTGGAAAAGCCCAAGGTATTAGTGATGGTGATGAGTTTGAACTCTATGCTTCCACTTCGACAACGGAAGAAGCTCGACCAGATTCCATTATAGCACGTGTTTCAAAAGCAACAGCCTTCAAATCGGCCTTGGAAACGGTCGGCGCGACTTTGGAAAATTTACGGGGCTGGTCATGGAAAGCAATCATCCGCTCCCAAGCTGCTCTTCGGAAATACCCTATCAAACTCTCTTCTGGCGTCCCTGACCGCGATGCATGGCTGGTCGAATTGCGAAAGCGCTCTCTAGATGCATTCGCGAGTTCAGAGGATACTGAATCTCGTGCATTCTTTTTCTCCGTGGACCTTGAAGATGGCTTCTTTGTTTTTCGAGATTCGGACGGGCAGAAAGTCCCGAATATTCCCGTTCTAGATGGCTCGCAACCCAACATCCGGGAGCTGAGCGACCTGCTAGAGCACCTTGTCCGATTCCATCATGTCAAGGATCTGAAGAATACAGAAACGCCTGGGACCTTTGAGAATTCTTTCCAAGTTGAGGTGTTTGTCAACATTGAAAGACCTGACAGTGCAACTGGCATAGAAAGTGTCAAGAGGCAAGTTGACACGTCTCAAGTCATCTCCATCGGGCACGACAAGAAGGCAGAAATAATTATCCGCAACGAGGCCCCGCACGACCTATACGTCTCTATCTACAACCTTTCACCGCAGTGGGGCGTGGTCAACGCTCTGAGCGTGACGTTCACCAAGATTGCGACTAAGAATGGCCCCGGATACCCTAAAACGATACGAAAGATGTTTAAGATGAGGATACCTGACGGAATGCTGAAGAACGGAGACACTTCATGCAAAGATATTCTCAAGATCTTTGTCACGTCTCACCCTTCGTGGATGTACAACCTTCAGCTCCCGAAGCTGGATGCATACCATGGATTCGGGGAGAGTCCTGGTCGGCCCTCAGATCCAGTTACGGTTGAAGAGAACTGGACAGTCATGAGCTTGGACTTTGATACGGCGGTATGAGACGGCTTCTATTCTTGAGGTTGATCCGGGTACCGTCAATCATGCCTGTGATGCTGAATCTTGGTATCTATCTTTTTAGATGAAACTCATGGGTAGAGAAAATAAAACTGAAAGTCCTTCATCAATGCTGTTGAAGTTGATAAGATCAACAGGTCCCATTGTTGTAGTTTAAACATAGCACACACTCTTTCGTACATTTGAGGGGTGGGAATTGAATCGGATCCTCCCCCATGACGCTTCTCACATTGCAACCGGAACAGCCGGAATTGCAAGATATAGACGTGAAGATCCTTGAAGCCTACGCAGCAGATGTCTGCCTGAATATGCTCACTAATTCAATTCCGATGGTCAAATGCGACATATAGTCTTCCAGTTCATGCATTTCCGCCCTGTTCTAGTGTCCAGGATTAGAGCCAACCTCGGCATGTGGTGGGTCTTCCAACTCCGCATCCTTTTTTGTCCAATGCCGTTGGCCCTGGTATCATCTTCCGGGGGATTATCCAATCACACCACCATCAACTAACCACCCGCGGAGAGTTTGTTGTCCCGGTCGACGTTATTAATAAGTTTCATATTTTGGATAATAATATTCTGATATCTACTCGCTTGGGGATCGAGGAAGGCTCTTTCTTTCTAAGGCAGGTTTACACTTTCTTTGTCGAACCCTTTGTCCCTTCTCAACTGCACTGAATCACCAAGAAAGGGTTTTTTTTTTCGCTCCTGATAAATTTCTAAAGAAACACTTATCCCCAATATGAAGGAGGCTCTCGTCGCACCGGGCGTGAAGGTCACTATCCAGGATGTGCCCATACCCCAGATATCCGACCCTAGACAGATCCTGATCCAGGTTATTGTCAGCGGAAGCAACCCGAAGGATTGGAAGGTGCCCTACATCATCAAGACAGCTTTCAACCAGGGAGATGACATTGCGGGCTATGTTCATGCAGTTGGTGATGAAGTGACAGAGTTCAAGGTTGGGGACAGAGTCGGAGCATTTCATGAAATGATAACGCCATCTGGAAGCTTCGCGGAATATGCTATTGCATGGGAGTGGTCGACATTTCATATTCCCAAGAACACCAGTTTCGAAGGCACGTGCTAGTATCTAACGGTTGGACAATCTCACTAATAGGAAACAGAAGCTGCAACAATTCCACTGGCTGCAATGACTTCCACGCTTGGTCTCTATCAGAATCTCGCGCTCCCAACTCCTTGGAATAAAGCCGAAGATCCAATCCCGCTGGTGGTCTATGGCGCAGCCTCTGCTGTTGGCGCCTTTGCTGTCAAGCTGGCTTGTCTATCCAACATCCACCCCTTGATATGCGTTGCCGGCCGAGGCACTGCATATGTGGAATCTCTTATTGATAAATCCAAGGGGGATACTGTCATTGACTACCGCAAGGGAGATGATGCAGTCGTCGAGGGCATGAAACGTGCTCTGGGCGGCAAGAAATTGCTCCACGCTTTCGATGCTGTCAGTGAGAAGGGAAGTTATGTGAACATAAGTAAAGTTTTGACACATGACGGCGGAAAATTAACTGTTGTCCTTCCCGGGAAATCTTATGACGAGCTGCCAGAAACCATCGAGTGGAAGACTACAAGCGTCGGGCGTGTTCATAACGAGGAAGGGTTGGAGAGCGGGTCGCGACAGCTTGCGTATGCTTTCTACAGACTTCTCTCCAATGGGCTCAAAGAGGGATGGTTCACTCCTCATCCTCATGAGGTTATTCCCGGAGGTCTGTCGGGGATTGAGACGGGGTTGAAGAACTTGAAAGGCGGTAAAGCGAGTGCTGTGAAATATGTATTTAGAATTGCTGAGACCCCGGGCCTGGCAAAGGCGTCCCTCTGAGTACGTGGGCGATAGGCTCCAGAGTCTTTCTTTTATTTAACAATTGTCTTCCGAGGCCTCTTATGTTCATCATGCATAACCATAGCCTCAAGTAGAGATAAGTGTAGAACGGAACGGAACATCCTCTCTTAATGCCGTGTTTAGGAATAATCAAACTCCCATCGAGGGGTCCTACTTTCATTATTTTATTTCTCATACAATACTGTCGTCGGAGTTTCTTCTTGTTCTTGGGTAGTACAGTGCTCGACTTGACGACTCCCCGGACGAAGGCGCTGGGTTTTCCTCCCTACTGCTCATTCTCAAAGGCAACATAGATTCCTCGGTAATGACATGGCGAGGACTTGGAGGTATCCACTGCGTTTCGATAGTTTCACCCCGCGGCATTCGGTTAACCCCTCCCCCCCAATGGCCTCGCTCACTCGCTGAAGTTTTAGACCTGCGGGAGATCGAATAGGATTTGATGGCTTTGTAGAGACCCGGACCTGAGCAGGTTACAAATGCTAAATTATCAGTTAGTATGAGACTTATCCAGACTGATGCAATTTTTGAATCAACATACCCACTGAACTCTCGATACTGCTCCAAAAGGCAAGCCATTGAACAGTTGGTCGAGAATCCCTTTCTCCAATTTGAGTTACTCTGAATGTGGCAGCGATGATGCAAATCCAACCCAGGCAGAACAAGCCTGCAATACTGATTTTTCGACAGATGGGCAACTGGACTTTGAAGACCAGTTGCAGTGGAAGTAACATAACTGGAAAACAGTCAGTGATGATTCTGTACAAGCGATGATGCTTCTATCTTGGGGCATATTCATTACTCACTCAGTACGTTAGTCACCATGTCCACACCATAACTGAAATATCTACTGACGTTTCCAGCAACAATATCACGGCGCGTCGTGCATGCCCTTGGGCTGAACCAGTCCTCCATACTGGAACAGGATAATATCAGAGTGGCTAGGCAACATATATATGTCTGCGATCGTATTTTCTGTTAGTGCTGCGCTCAAATCTCATAAGATTCACACCCCGCTTACCAGAACGCAGATGCCGACCAGGCTCCACCACAGCTTGATATAGACAGGCAACTGCACGAAAAGCTTTCTGTAGAAGCAAAGAAAGGATAGCTTTGCTGACCATAGACAAGACCAGTATAATATAGTGCTCGCAAAGATCCATTTCTGCATCAAGACGGCATCACCCGCTGCGTCGGGGTATGGCCCACCGGCCAAATCAATAGCTCGAAAGTAAACTCTTAACAAGTTTATGTATATGAGACCACAGGCAAACGAGAAAATGTAGCATAATAATAACCACACATCCTCTCCATGGAATGGTTTGCGAATAATGGCGGTAAAACCGAGTTGGAGAACAACAACGAGGGAAGTTAGCACGAGGAGTGCGACGAGGACGGGCTCAAACGAAGCCGTTGGTATGGTATCAATCATCGTAGCGAGGGATGGCTTCTTCTTTGCTTGCTAATTTTTTATTAGAGTCTTCTATACTCGATGGATATTACAAGGAAGGCAGACTAATAAGCAATTTGTGAATGTGGCCTATGCTGAACGTTGCACATCTCTTAAACTGTGGAGAAACAAAGGACTGACAAAATACTCTAAGAAGAGGGTAATAAGAACTATTACGCATTCACAAGCCTTTTGACATCTAAGACCAGAGTATATTCATTATCCAAGAACGAACAAAGCTTCCATCTAGAACAGAAAGCGCCTCTAGCATAGGGATTGTTATTCTTTCCTTCACAACACAACCTGTCTAAAGTCTCAGAACAAACAATAGAGCTGCAAATAATATTATAATTAGAAAGTTAGAGTGAAAGGCGCAATAGCTATTATCAACACTGTTAAATAACTATTTAGTAGGGTCTATTAAACGTTAGGAGCAAAACCTCTTTATACCAAGTATAAGTTGATATCTACGCACGGACCAGAGATACTTAAAGATGCCTAGAAAGCACTTGCATACTCAAGCTTTAATCTGCCAGTTAAGTAGGTTAGACAGCGTACAGTTGTTAGGTGTTGGCCATGTTCTCAGTAGGTACTTGTGGACTTGGGCAAGTCCACTTGTCACAGCATCCGACGAATGCAAGTACGAATACCTTGACGGGGTGCTTATTGGCGCTATTCGTAAAAAAAAACAGAAATCGAGTTTGTAAATCACAGCTGGACATCATCCTTTCCCTTTTGCCACGCGCGTTCTAGAAACACGTTCTCTCACCAAGAATAGCCAACGCGAATGCAAATAAGCCCTGGAAGAAGGAGGTGACAATTAGTACTTATCCCGTCCGCAACCGATTGTAAAACAGCTAATATTGGGATACAAAATTTCCCTCATAAGATAGAAGGACTACTATCCCATCTAAATATGGATACAACTATTTTATTAAATTGAAGAAGGTGCACTGAATTTAGCCTCAGTCCCTTAGACTAGCAACATCGTTAATTGAAAGAGTTGTAGAGCGTCGTATTAGTGTCTAGCAGCCTGATGCTGCGTGAGACATCCATCACGTGTTGTGCAATCCCTTGCTGCCGCTTTTCATCCCTTCGCATCTTTAAATATTTTGCCTTTCGCATACGACTTCGAACCTTGCCATCTCATCCTGTTCACCAACCACGCGAGACTAAACCATTTTACGCCACCCGATTTTACTAGATATTTCGTATAGAATCCATCGTGGTAGCTCTAAAAATGTCTCTCGAAAAGTGCAAAGTTTGTTTCGACCTGGACGAGACTTCGATGGTTGTCATCCCTTGGCAAAAATCAATTATCCATTACTATCCCCTTCGCCACAGTGCTTCCACATGCCGGTATTGTAAAATACTCTTCGATGGCATCACCCATGCAATTTCTGGCAATAAAACCCCAAGTTTCAGCTTTGCCATAGGCAATACTCTTCGATTAACCATGCAAGATCTCATGCTAGCATCGGGCATCGAACGAACTATAGAGTACTATCGCAACAACTTGCATGCTTCAGAAGCTGTAAATACAAGTCCAGGCGCAACAGAACAGACTTCTTCCGCAAGTGCGATCAAATTTCGTGCTCGCCCTACTCAATTCTGGGACGAGTCCGTCCGCTTACGACTCCAACAGTGGACTGGTGCGTCCCTCGTGGCCCTGCTCCCACGTCGAATCCTTGATCTAGGTGATGATGGAGTACCACTTAGAAATAGCATCCAACTACTCGAGCCTGAGGCAGTATATGCTCCATACGTTACATTGAGCCATTGCTGGGTGAACCGAGAGGTTCTTACCACCACTACCGCGAATCTGCATACTCACATCAAACACATCTCCTTTGATTCACTTCCGCAGACTTTTCAGGAAGCTATCAAGATCTGCAGATGGCTGAACATTCGCTATCTATGGATTGACAGCTTGTGCATTATTCAAGACGACCTTGTTGACTGGGAGCAACAAGCAGCAAGAATGGATTCAATTTACGAAAATGCATTCTTCACCATGGCAGCTCATGGACACGCAGGGAGCTCCATGATCCCAACATACAATGAGTGGAATATTCCTACGGAGTTACCGGGTCTACAAGACACGATCTGTGCTCGAGATATCCCGTTTCATAGCTTCCTCTCTCCAGTGGGTGTGGTCATGGGCTCAGTTGGGCAAGAGGCTCCTGACGAGATATCCGGTAGAGGTTGGTGTTACCAGGAGCGATTACTGTCCCGGCAAATACTACATTTCACACAGACTGAAGTCCTACACGAAGATCATAGAGGTCGCATAAAATGTCAATGCGATGATCAGATTCCCCATGGTTTCTGTGTCGCGGCAGACCGGCGACCTACTTTAACTCTCTCGAAGTCACCTTCCAAACAGTGGCGAGAAATTGTGAAGCAATACTCGCAGAAGACATTTACCCGCACATGGGATATTTTACCTGGGCTCTCTGGAATTGCACGACGTTTTCACCAAGAACATACACTAGGAGACTATCTAGCTGGACTTTGGAGCCGCGATCTACTGCGATGGCTATGCTGGAAGAGTGTTCGGATTGCTTTGTGGGGCGCTGTATCAAGTGGCTGCGATCGATGCGGTATCTGGCCACGACGATTAACGGAACTGGCTCCACGCGCACAATATATTATACCTACATTTTCTTGGGCCTCGCGGATCGGGGGTTGTGAGTATCTCAACAAGGTTTGGGATGATGCCTATCAGCAAGTTAGTGAGATCAAGAGCACATGCTTCGAGTCGACACCTGAGAGTCCTTTCGGTAGATTCAACATGTGCTCTTTAAAGATATCCGGACCCGTGAAAGACATGACTGTATTGTCCACGGTTAACAAAGACCGAAAATACACATCTGGATGTCGCACTGAATATGCTTACCTGTTTGATCCTACTGTCTATGAATCGCTCTGCTTATGCAATCTTGACGAGCAATTTGAGCAAGCGAGGCTGCTTGCAACTCGTTTTGATTTCGATGCGGTGGACGACATCCCAGCTGATGGCAAGCTGGTGACGGTGATGGAACTATTCAGGGAAGCTCAGTCAAGCGTTGCCTTGGTTCTGGCGAGGTCCAGTGATAACCATGGCAATGTAGAGGGGCCTTTTCATCGCGTTGGGATCTGCATGGGTTCTACTCGGTCCATTGGTCTGCATGCAGCCCATCAGCATGAAATTATACTTGCTTAAAGCTTGCAGCTTTACATTCCTAACCTTCTCTCCTTGGAGCCTTCGATTTCATCATGAGGTCTAGAGATTAAATTATCATTGTAAAAACTCATTTTGCCGGGCAAACGGATTTATTCTGTTATTCTCCTGCGGGCCTGATCGTGGGATTTTCCTTGTTTATGAGTGAGGAAAAAAGCTACAAAGTATGTTTAACTTCTTTCTCAACAGTACAAGTAGGAAAAAGAGTCACCTAAACCAAAAAAAAACTATATTCCAGAAATGTCTTTCTTTGAATGTTGTTGAAAATAGAAACAAGTACCAAATAGCCTAGCACTACAGAAACTTCAAACAAAGCAACGAGGAGGCGTTAAACAGAACTCCCTTGTATTTATCCATTCGATTACAAGGTGGGCATTCTATTACTCCACGCAATACCGTTTGTTATCTTTAGTATGTGTGTAGCTCGAATGTTCTCTCTCGCAGACCCAGACTCATTGTAATTCATTGCCGCTATGAGCTATGGCACAGCCCAGAATCTAAGGGCAACATTTATTTGCACTGTAATTCCAAAGTTTGGAAGAGATGCCTAAAAACAAGTGGTGACATTGCAGCTCGCAGCCCAGCTCATTAAATTCCCTCTGCTGGTGGCACGAAAGTGTTTGTTTGAACGGCGTCCGGATGGGGAAGAATTCAGGCGCTTTGATTTCCATTCACAAGCTCAAAACTGTGACTTTATTGATTAAATTGCGCGTGTTGTATTGTGTCCAATGTGCAACTAAGGTACCTCACATAAATATCACGTGAAAGAGACTAATAATCCTTTCGTTATACCTGTTGAGAGGCTATCTCCCCACCTTAGAAGGCCGGACGAGACATCCAATTCTTGACCATTTTTCGAATCTGACCGTGGTCCGAATTTTCACTTCCTTGGCTTGGGCGACGAGTGACCGAGTTCGTGACATCACAACCCCCAGAAGGGTGACTTGTTGTCATCATCCGATTTTTGTAATCTGAGGTTTTTTGCTGGTGAGCAGAGTAGACAGTTCTTGGACGCTAGGGATCCTACTTGAAGCATCATTCCTATTCGGGTTGTCTATAACAGCCTGATACTTGGCTTTTGCCCTCTCAGCAGCAGTGGGCATGATGGGCTATCGTTGATGATGTGCTGGATGTGCTGGGTTCGATAGATGATATCACAGATGAGCTCTCTGCGACACATAACATCCCCGTGCGGGGAGCAGCAAATATTATTATAGCTGATTCAATCAAATGGGACTGTACTCTGACAGAAGATCTCGATGCTACTGTCGTAATTATGACATCAGGTCAAGCCATATGTTAAAGGGGGTCGCGTGAGGGGTCAACGGCTGACACCCATGATGGTGTTTGGGGAACGATTCTGATTGAACAATCAATTTGATGATGGATAACGTTGGTGCTAGGATATGCTCCGACGCTTTAGGCTTTCTTCTTTCCACTGAGGGGGGATTTGTTTGCTATTTCCTAGTCTGGGATTTATCAACCGCTCCAACGATAAATGCAGTGTTCAAGAAAAATCACAATCATCGGAACCTTGGGCTAGATATGAGCAAGTTAAGCTCTTAACTCATGTAACTAGTCTTGCGCTACCTGTGAGGCCTTTTTTGGATAGCTGTGTAGTTCAAGAGTATATGTACCAACAGAAGATCGCGCCTCTGCTAGGATTGATCATCAGGGTCGGGGCGCTTGGTAGTAGATCATTTGTTTTGCATGGCCAATCCAGTTGACCAATACGATTTTTCCCCTGATAGTATTACGTATCTCTTCCTCGAAGCGCACGGTATGGGTTGAAGACTTCAAACACCCGATCACGGCTTAATCATTTAGCTTTTCTATAGCATAAAACCATTACTGTCTGCTCCAAATCATAAATAAACTTCGGAAAGCACAGTAATTGATGGTAGAAAGGGACAAAAGATGTCATCAGCATGAAAATTTATACATTTTAGATTGTTACTCTAATATCTAAACTGCGACAACTTGCCGCTCACAAAAATGCTTAGCTAAAAATATATCCTACAAAGAAATCTGGCCGGTCTCTAGGACCCAGTCGTGTGGAAAACTTCATCAAGAAGGTCCCGGGATCCTTCAGAACCTGAAGGTGCGCTTGCTGCGACGCTTCTTGCTGCTGCACGAGGGAGCTGAGGAAGCTGCAGGCGTCGAGGAGGCTGAAGGGGTGGGGGTTGAAGGGGTCTCAGGCGTGGTCGGGCTGGACTTGATGCCTGAGATCTTCTCGGCGGCGTGCTCAGCAGTGATCATGATGATGGACTGCGTGTTTCCGGTGGGGAGGTCGGGGTGGATGGAGGCGTCGACCACGAACAGGTTGTCGGTGCCGTAGACCTTGGTGTCTAGGTCCACGACGCTGGTGCCGTTGCCCTGGCGGCCATCGTCAACACCCATCTTGGCACTGCCGACCCAGTGGTCACCGCTGATCAGGTTCTTAGAGATGATATCCTCTACCGATGAATCGGGGGCGACGTAGGTCAGAGTAGAGTTGTTAGTCGATGTGAGGTCAAGCCAGAACTGGATGAAGTCAGACATGGCCGTCCGGTCATTGTCATCAATCAACCAGGGCTTGGTCTCGAGAACGGTGTTTCCAGAAGCAGAGATTCCGAGCTTGCCCACTGTGGAGGTACCGTGGGTCAGGAAGGTGCGCACAGTGATGACACCGGAAGACATGGCACTGGCAGTTCCCTGAAGGAAACGCTTGCGGCCATCAGCACTATCGACGGAAGTCCAGAGATGCATGCGCTGGGCGGCCTGAGTGATGACACCAGAGCCCTGGTAGTAGAGATCCAGATCATCTTCAACGGGCTCGGTGGCGATGCCCTTGAAGTTATACGCAGTGAAGTTGGATGCATCGTTGAACTGGAGGGTGACCTGGACGTGGTCCTGGAGATGGTGGCCAACGGGAAGGTCGATCCAGTCAGCCTCGGCGGGGAGAGTGACACCCGTCTGAGCCGAACCGCTCTTGACAATGGCCAGGTCGGCAGCTCGGCCGATACCCGAGTTCCAAAGCACACGGGGGGTGGAAAGAGCACCAGCTGCAATAACAACCTTGCCGCCAGCCTTGAGGTTGATGATCTGGGTGCTTCCGTCAGCCTCGAGGGTGAGAACACCAGTGATGGCACTGCCATTTCGGTTGACCTGAATGACCTTGGAGTTCAGCTTGAGGGTGAAGTTGTCAAGCTCTTTGGCAAAGGGCATGTAGGTTCGGGCAGGTCCAGCACGGAGGTGATCCTTGATAGACCACGCAGGGCGAGAGAACACCTGATGCTTCTCGTTGGGTGATTCGATGGAGTCAACTTCAGACCAGCCCTTGGCGCTCACAAGCTGAGACAGGACCTGGTAAGTGTGATCATTGTAGTGCTTTCCATCGGCCGATGGGTTTGTGGTACCGGGGTTGCGCTCATAAAGGCGGGAAGCGGCCTCCGAAACATCCTCCCACTGCCATCCAGCGGGCCAGCGCTGCCAATCTTGCGAAGGGGGACGGATGAAGTTCAGGCCGTTGACGGAGCTAGAGCCTCCCAGAAGGCAACCAGCCGTGGAGGCGGTATCGCTGCAGAATGTGGTGCCAGAAAGGCCTGCCAAGCTGCTTCCAAGACTTGGAATATCGTAGGGGGTCAGGCTGCTGTTCCAGGGGAGGCCCAGAGACGAGCCCAGAGCAACCGTGTTGGCAGGTCCACGCTCGATGAGAAGAACGCTGGCTCCTGACTCGGCAATGCGCTCAGCAGCAATGATACCAGCAGGTCCACCACCGACGACAATGGTGTCGTAGGTCACGTTGGAAGTGATGGGTGTAGGCAGAGTGCTGTTGCCACCAGGAGTTCCGGGAGTGGTTGGAGGGGTAGGGGTTGTTCCCGAGGATGCCCACGCGGCCCATGTGGCATACTTGGAAGACTTGGCTGCTGCAATGTTCAATCCGTACTGGCCGAAGCCGGCACCGTGGTACGTCAGAGCACTGGCAGAATCGGTGACGGTGGTTGGGCTTTCAGCAGAGATGGCCCATCCAAGGATAGGGGTCTCGTTGGCAAGGTTGGTAACGGTGGAGTTGACACAATTCTCACAGAGGAAGGTGTACGCTAGGTGGGTGCTGTTGACGAAAGTGCCGTTGGCGATTGGCAATGCGTTGACTGTACTTCCGGAGTAGACATCAGGGTTGGCATATGAACCAGCCATTCGGAACGAGGTCTTGATGTCCTCTCCGTCTGCCCAGGCGACAAGCAGCAGACTGTTCAACATGCCACCTCGCAGCGACACAGAGCCCCATCCTCCCGTCGAGGTGATGGGGATCACCAGCTGGCCAATAAAGTCGGTTCCCAGAGTCTCGGGGACCGCAATGCTAAAACTGTAGTTCTTGGAGGCATAGTGTTGGAAGTCAATGCCGGTGTTGGGATCGGTGAAAGCCCAGGTCTGCTGAGCAGCGGCCGATCCAGCGAGCCCCAGAAGGCTGGCTAATCCCAGGTTGAAACGCATGGTTGATAGACTTGCTCGTTCGAAAGACTTAGTTTCTTTGGTTTGTAAAGACTGGATTGGGGAGACTGCGTCGAGCAGTGTGTTGTAAAGCGAAGGAAAAGGACGTTAACCACCGGGGTTAACAGACTGCACAAGAAATGAATGACAGCACAACCGTCTCTGCGGAGGTGCAAAAGAAGCAAAAGAAAGCTAAGCTGAGCGAGCAAGCGTGAATCAGACACAGAGATTCGTGCTCGTCGACGTCTGATATTTATTCAAACGGCCTCAGTCTCAACTCATCACCCTCGTGGCCGCTCTTGGCAGGTGGAGGGTTGAGCATAATCCCAACAGGGGTCTTGCTTGCCCAGGGTACGGTCCCACAGAAGCAGTCTTCCTTTCATCTGTCACTCTCTCATATGGACAATCTGACAGGCACGCATCTAGAACGGCGTCGGAGAGTCCTGTTAGAGAAAGTGTATCAGGCCTCCCTGACCCGCTCGGAGGCAACACTAATCCATTACTGTCTACAGGATCGCGGCACTGTTTCAGATTACCGTAGGCGTGTTTAACAATCGCAGTGCCGCAATTGGCTGGCTTATTTATCTCTCATGCGCATTCCTCTTGGTCTGGCAGGGGATGAAACCATCAATGCCTGCGCCAGCCAGGAAATCGAAGCAGGCACCGCACCAAAGGGCAAACGCCAGAGCCAAGGCACAGTACGTAATACTCTGTTTTCAATCTACAATTGCTCTCGGAGATACATTCACCGAGATTGTTTCCGTATCTCGATCGGCCAGTGTGGCAACAGCCGTTCGTAATCCAAGTGTTCCAGGTGGGCGGAGACTGGCGGCAAGGGCACCTCAGTTGCGATCTGGTGGCTCTAATCGATTGCGCTCTTTGCGTTGAGCTGTCGGCAGTCTCAAGAATAATGAGTCAAGAGGAGGGATGAGGTAGCAATATCCGAACTCATCAATTGGCCAAGTCTATCTATGTATCCTTGGCCACCCTTTCGCCACTTGATTGAGAGATACTGATTGACAGATACCATTTAGTATTTCGTCTACTCAACCGGTCGACATCAGAATTGAAGAAACTACGTCAGTCACTGACTATTAACGAGAGCCGATCACAATCGCTTGGTCGGCCGTGGGGGCCTTGATGTGCCAGGGTCAGTGGCCGTCCTGAAACAGGGACAGGTCAGCGAGATTGTGAATGCGCCCACTGGCTTGGAGTTTTTACGCATCCTGCAAATTCTCCGTCCTGCCCCCACCGCCCAGCCCCGAGAAGACCAGATGCAAGGCCTGCGGTGAGTCGACAGGTGGTTAAGCGCTGTTATAAGCAGGGAGGAATCTTCTTTTTCTTGGAAAACCTGCTTTGCTCATCTTTACAAATCTAAGCGAGATTCCGGTCCCGACTTCAAGCAAGGGTTAAATGACGAATCGAATCCATCCATCCTTTGACGACAATGTTGTCCTGCAGGAAGCCATGTCTTGCAGATGAAGCATTTTCATCATATGATGGCACATCAGTTCCCCTTTTTGCTTGTTCCACTTAACATTGCAGAGTTGAGCTGGTAAGTTTAAGAAACCACAATATCAGGGATGTGACCCAGTCATAAACCCAGCAGAGAACAGTTACCGGTCAAGGAAAAAGTTTTTCCACCACTCACGAGCTGTGCCCCGATGCAAACACTCTACAAATACCCTCACGGTCCTCAATGTATGCATCAAGGTATCTACAACATTCTAGAACATCCCTTCTCGCGTAAGAAGTGTTCTAGACTCTTAGCATGCCGTGGCTGTCTATTCAGCCCAGGGCGCTCGTTGGGGCTTATGTACAGGACAAAGCACCCCGAAAATGCATCTAAAGTCATGAAACACATACTTCGGTGGAAGCAGTGAAATACGGAGCATGTTCCAAATCCATTGTCTAAAGAGCAGCTCAGAAACAAGAATGGAATAATGTTAAAGCTATCAAAGGTTTTGACCAAGACGGCTAGTAGATCACTATTAACCCAAATCTGCTCCCGACGAGTCAAGTGCCGTAAGGGGCCGGATGAAGTCGATTATTTGAGGGACGGTTGGCCGAAGCTGTGGCTAGAAGCCTTGTGTCGAGATTCTTGCCACTTAGGTGCCCGCTTGTATGATGTAACTTGCTAAGCTATACTTGTAGCTATCCACTCACATAGGGAGAAGCATTAATATAGTTGTATGATAGACTTCGATGGCTATGAATAACTGTAAAAGTGGTTAGTCTCTTGGTGCATACACTGCTAATCCCCGCGTCACAGTCTTGACTAATTGGTTTTCCTACTGGCCACGGTTCCTCATTTTTCATTTCTATTCATGCCAATACAAAGAGTCAAAAGCAGTTTATTTGTGACGATTTTTCTACTAAACTAGCTCGTTCGTTGAGGCTTTGGCAGATCGCGAAGGCTCTGCGATATCAGTAGCCGCCATCACAATCAAATCAGAGCTTCACCCTAATGACGCAAATCAATTCAAGGGCATGCATCTACCCATGGATGCGCCGGGCAGACCGTACTTGCAGTATCGCGAACAGCATTCCGTAAACTTCTTGCAAACCCCTGCACAGTTGTCAGCCAAGAGATGTGGTTTTGTTTGAGAGTTACTAGTACGTACGTCCTTCAGGCGCGCAAGTCTGTGTATATTCGGGGGCACGAGAGGAGGTACATGTAGGCTTTGCAGGCGTGGCCGCGGCAAACGAGGAGAATAGACCGGCGATGAGAACGAAAATAGTGATCTTCATGATGCCCAAGAGATTGCAAAGTAGTGGAGGTAAAGAATTTGACGGGTCAAGAAGATATCGAACACTAACTAGCACTTGAGCTGGGGAAGGAAGAGAGAGAGGCGAGGAGAAGAGGGATCAGTTTGATATTTGTAGTTGTATCATTTGGGCTTCGTAGCCACTGGGGATTCAGCTGCGCTCAATGCATCCGCATTACATATGCTGCATGCATGATCCAGTATCCCGTGTCTCGTAATGAGACAGAACCATTTATGAGGAACTCAGAACATAACCGTCGGATTCACACGAAGCAAGATCATGGCAGGTCGGCCATGTTTTATTCTATTATTGATTTCCATCATGATGAATATCTTGCATCAATGGCGAAATCGCCAACACCAAAGCTCGCCAAGTGAAGAGTACTTCCAGTCATCTCAGTACCAGAGCTCCCTCGACGCTCTGAAATGTTCGAGATCCAGACACCATGCAAGAAAGCCCCCGCGGTGCAATACTGTCTTGGAAACGGCGAATCTTGGCGACCAATCTCATCCACAGGCGCCCGAATACCTCGTATTCAGGACGCACGCTCGGGCAATTTGGGCGAAGTGGCGTCCGCTTTAGCTCGATGGTGTCGCGGCAGGTGAGGCTGAGTTGCATCGCCAAGAGCTCACTTGGTCGAGACCGTCATATTGAACACTCACCGACTCTGTGGCTTGCTGCGCTCTAGCCATATCACCTGCAGCCAGCAATAATTGCAGTGGTTTAACGGCAGACTGACGTGAGAAACGCCAGCTTTAATCCTCGATGCTACTCAAATCAGTAAGACTGTGTTTATCTTTGCCTTTTTGACCAATATTTGTTCTTGGCTGGCTTGGCCGGCACATCCAAATGGAAGTAAGCAAAGCTGCACAAGCTGTCATGTCCTGGCTCATGTCTCTTGGGGATCGTGATGGTTGCAAGCTCTCCACGGTTCTTCCCATAATACGCCGGCAAGGTGGCGCGGGCCCATCAATGAAGATTGCAGGTCGTCAATGGTTGTGTTTCTGGGCAACATTATTTAAGCGCCGTAGGTCTTTTCAAGAAGAAGAGTATCAACTTGATTCCCCCCGGCAAGGTACACCTTCTCAAAGCATTGGCCGCACTATGGAAATGCTTCCGAGCAATTGATCCGTCTGTCTCAATTAGTTATTATTCAATTTATTGCTACTTTCTTTAAGTGTAGCAGCTGTTTACCCCAACTCCAGCATCACATAGTGGAGGCCGGCAGTGTCGTTGCTGTAACTTAAGACATCAATCAGGTGGTTTTAGTCCAGATCAGTCCTCGAACCGCCTACGGAAACCACCCGGCGAGGATCCTCCGCCTGCACGGTTTAATCCGAAGGGCCATTAAATTTGAATTTTGTAAAATATTGACGCAGACGTCATCATCCACCCAGCCAGACTGAGTCTTCAGTATCCAGGAGGTTCGTGGAATTCACGTCAAGGGCGGGATCATTGAGATGACTCAGTCTTCACTCAGCCCTCTCCACCCAGCTGGAGAAAAACCCCTTAGAGCTGTCGGATTTTCACAAATGTACCTGAGAGCAGGCCGTCACACCGTTTCCGAGGGTTTTAACTACGTCGGATTTGGCATACAGCACAGGCTAGCGGCGTGGCCGTTGGAGCAGCACGTCTGCGTGGGCTCGGACTTTAATCCGTCGCCACATTCATGCTGGCAAAGTTGGTGATCGGAAAGACAAAGTGGTATCCTATGATGCCGTATTCAAATACATGTCAAATAAATTAGGCTGGCCTTCAATTTTCGTTTGGTTCTCCTCATATACAAAAAAAGCTGAAACCAGTATCAATACAATGGCGCTTCCTACACATTTTACATTGAATACAGGGGCCAAGATCCCAGCTGTGGGCTTCGGGACTTGGCAGGCTCCCCCAGGCCAAGTCGAGAAAGCCGTCGAGGCTGCCCTGAGATGCGGCTACAAGCACATTGACTGCGCAGCCATCTACCGAAATGAGGTCGAGGTTGGTGAGGGCATTCGCAAAAGTGGTGTTCCCCGCTCCGAGATTTTCATCACCGGCAAGCTGTGGAATACCAAGCATGCTCCTGAAGATGTTGAGGGTGCCTTGGATAAGTCACTAAAGGATCTTGGCGTGGAGTACTTGGACCTCTATCTGATGCATTGGCCCGTGTAAGTCGCCGCATGCCACTGACCACCCGGTTCTAACGCTGACATCGTATTTCCGCTACAAGAGCATTCAAGTCTGGAGATGACTGGTTTCCCATCGATTCCGAGGGAGTGTTTGAGCTCGCAGACATTGATCCTGCCGCAACGTATACGGCCATGGAGAAGCTTCTCCAGACAGGCAAGGTTAAAGCAATCGGTGTCTCCAACTTCAACAAAAACAGGCTGGACAACCTCATATCAAAGACCACCGTCGTGCCGGCGGTGAACCAAATCGAGGTGCACCCTTACTTCCAGCAGCCCGAGTTCTTCAAGTACTGCCACTCGAAGGGCATCCAGATCACGGCCTACTCCCCCCTGGGCAACAATCAAATCGGTGAGCCTCGCACAGTCGATGATCCACTGGTCGCCGAGCTAGGAAAGAAGACCGGCCTCGACATCGGCCAGGTTCTGTACTCGTGGGGCGTCCAGCGCGGCCATGTGGTTCTGCCGAAGAGTGTCACGCCGAGCCGCATCAAGTCCAACCTGCAGGTTCACAAGCTGCCCGAGGAGGTTTTTGAGCAGCTCAATGGCATGGAGCGTAACAAGCGCCTGCACTGGCAATCGCAATGGGGGTACGATATCTTTGAGGAGGTTGGCGACGCTGAGGTGAAGAGAATTGCAAAGGAGGCTGGACCTGCGAACTTGAAGAAGTTTGGTAAATGAAAAAAAAAAATTACCATAGACATATAGAAATATCCTCGAATAAAAAGGGGTTATTATAATACAAGAAGCGTCTAAAGCTCATCTGATTGACGGGTTGTCTCCATTGTGCAGGTTGGCAGGCAACTGGTGCGACAAATGGGGCAATCGCATCGAGTGGTAATTATCGCATGGAGAGCGGTTTGTCAAGCCCAAGATGAGCCAAATAAAAAGTACATCAACAGGCATGCCAAATATATTTATCTCCCAACTCAATAGAGTCTATCTTCGCGCTATGAATTGTATATTGACATTGATGCGGCAATTGCTTGCTCAGATTTCCAGATTTCTGTGATGGCTGCGTTTAGGGTAGGTAAGAAAGTGCACAATAGGTGATCGCTGAGACTCAGCCGATGAATATCCGCTATCGCACTTGGTCACGTGGCGATGAGGGACAACAACCTGGTCGAGCGTTTGCACGCCAATCGCTTCGAGCCTCTTCGTTGGATGGTAATACACCTGAATTCTTTGTTCATGCCTAATCAGGCGGCCATGTCAACTACGACCTGTCTGCCATGGTAACTGGCAGCCGGCTCCTCCTTCAGCGCCCAATGTCGCGTGCACGTTAACTGGGAGTGCCGCTGGCTACCATTCGAAATCAACTCCTCCTGACATGTTCTTCTGATTTACCTTCCTCCTCTCCTCCCAGTCTTCTGCCTCGGCAGGAGGTATTTCCAGTCCCTCAATACGACAGTAGCAATCGTGCAAGAACAAGAGACCTGTCCCATTCCACCGACGCAGCTCCTTGCTTCTCCGTCAGCGCGTTTTGACTCGACCAGCCCCAGCCGTCTCCGTACACTTGAGAACGGCATACGAAAGCACAGCGATCCGAACGATAGCACGCAAATTAAGCACCCAGAAGCAATCCTCGACGATGCAACGACGAGCTGCATACCCCACCCCTGCCCCGTAGGGTACACCGAGCCTCATCTACATCCGACGCGGCCTTGGCCTTCACGGCACGGTGCAAAGCCTGGGCTGCTCTTAGCGGCTCCTCTGAATCTTTGAGTCCTTCGAACTCTGGTTCCAGCTCGCGCTTCCTACGAGTGTGCCGTGTTCCTTCTCTTTCCCGACTTGCTTGTCCCTTCGTACGCCTGCCAATCACAAGGCCTTGGGTACTGCAACATAATGATGGTGAAGCTTCTGTCGTCGCTTCTACGCCTCTGCTGTGAACCGTTACCTGGCTTTCATCGGACCTGGCGAAGTATGGCTGGAGCCTTGGTTCTCTGGCACCGAGGCAGCCTGAGCTACGTCGGGTTGCTCACCGGCTTGTTGCCGGGCCATGTGCTCTCGATCCTCTGCGTCTGTGAACCCATGTCTTCCCTGATCTCGATCGGCTCCCAGGTGGCTTGCCGCGCTTTTCTCGCTGCTTACTCTCCCGCAACATCTCCTATCCGGATCGCCTCCCTGATCGCCTTGGATTACCCCTGCCAACGGTCGCGGCACTTCCTGTTCTAAATACATGACCACAGGGCGACGACAGTCCCCTCTCCCATCTCTTCGTAGCGCTCCTCTGTTCTCCAGTTATGATACCTCGTGGTCTCCCACTCATGATAGTGACAAGCATCTCCAGGGTCCGTTTCTGTCCTGATACCAGTCCTCGCCGAAGTGCTTACGGCCCTATTCTGTGGATGATTCGAAATCTAGAGTACACGGCTCTGGGGTCCACATCCTGGAACCCTGGCATTCTAGTTTTATGTCTTACTCATTGTTGAGGTTCTCGGTGCCTGCGTTGTCGAAAGGTTCGATGCCTATTTCATCGTTGTAGAAGTGATGGTTGCCCATACCATGCCCCCAATCTGAATATGCCAGTTTCTAATTATGAATCATCCAAGTAACCCATCTCCAACTCACAGTCTCAGCCTCATAGCCTCCAGTCATAGCGGGATAGCGGCACCAGTGACAACACCGGGGCTTATCCTAGCCCGAGCCACGACCGAGAATGACCAGGCTCCTCTGTGGCAAGGCCCTTCGTCCGTCTGTCTGAGCGAGTCAGGCCAAAACACTCCCCCGCATTTCCCTCCCCGCATCCGCTTTTCCGACCATCTACCCCGTTTGGGGCAATACATCTCTTCCGATCCTGAGATCATCCCAACATTC